ATATATGTTGTTTTTAACATGAGATCTACTAGGAGCGGGGTTGTATATTTCATAAATCTGTATAACTATACCATGGCTTCATATGGTCCCAAACACATAGCAACATCAGTGGATCCAGCTTTCCATCCAGCAGGTGTTGACCGAACACTTTTGTGTTCCTGCATTGTAATGCTGGGAACATAGCGGTGAACAGAATAGAAAAAATTCCTGTTGTCACAGATCTTGGAGTCTAGGGGTGAAGAAAATCTTTAATAAATCCTCTCTCAACTAAATATATAGTAAAACTGTCACAAGTGCTCTGAAGGAGAAGTGTAGGAAGCTCACTTAGACTTGAGGGGAGTGGTAAAAGAGTAGGTGTCAAAAAATGTCCCCTGAGAAAGTGGTGTTAAAGCTGAGATCTGGAAGACATATGGAAGTTATCTAGGTGAGGTTGGAGGAAAAGTGTGTTCCAGTCATGGAAACGTGTGCATAGGATTTGAGGCTGGAAAGAGCAAGCTGCTTTCATCACGGTGGACATGGGACAGGGGCAGAGGGTCATGATGGAGAGGAGGCAGGTGCTGCTTCGTCAGAAACCTTCTAGATGTTTGAACTTCATTTTACCAGCCAAGAGGAGCCAGTTGAAGAGTTCTAAGCAAGGAGTGACCTAGTCTTGTATATGTATGTGTGTAAAGATATATGCATTTAATCCATGTATACATAATAATCCATAATTGTACTTATATGTAAAATCATTGTACTTAGCCATTATAGCTATGCCATAGAAACTAAATTAAATCAAGAGCGAATGCAGAAAACTAGTGTTGAGGCTAATTCAGATCTCCATTTGGGAGTAGGAGTGCTTGAAGTAGGGTTGCTGGAGTTGGCGATGGTGGAGGAGATAAAAGTTGGCAGGATTTGAGATGCTTAGGGCATGAAACCAACAGGATATTTTTAATAGTAAAAACTATTCATGATTTCCAAAGGTTTTTTTGTTTCTTTGCGTAAGAACAGAAGAGTTTAAAAATAGTGGGATAAATTGTGAGGCATATGTGCATAACAGAACTGCCAAAAATCATAATTCAGCATTGTTAACAAACAGAAATTAAGTTTACTACAAAGTATTGCTACAAAAACAAAACCAAGAAACCCTACCTGAGTAAGTGAATTTAACAAAATTACACAATGACAAAGTCATTGTATGAAAGTTTAATGCATTTCTATATACTACCAGTGACTAACTGAAAAATGGGGTAAAAAAATGTAAGAAAAAGATCATCAAATATCAAAAATGAAATCTAATGAAAGACCCAAACACTGTTAACTACAAAAACGTATTGGTGAAAATTTATGAAGACATAAATAAATGGGGAGGTATAGCCTGCCATGATTTGAAAGAATCGAGCTCCAAGTCAAAGTCCCAGGAGTCTGGGGGATTTTTCTTTTCTTTTCTTTTCTTTTTTTTAAAGAATTAACGATTTCACTCTTAAATCACATGGAAATGCAAAGAACTCGAAATGTGCGTGTTTTCAAATTAGAGTTTTTGTCTTTTCTGGATAGATGCCTAGAAGTGGGGTTGCTGGATCATGTGATAGCTCTATTTTTGATTTTTGAAGGAATCTCCATACTGTTTTCCATAGTAGTTACACCAATTTACATCCCCACCCACAGTGTAGGAGGGCTTCCTTTTCTCCACACTCTCTCCAGCAGTTATTATCTGTAGATTTTTTGATGATGGCCATTCTGACTATTGTGAGGTGACACCTCATTGTGGTTTTGATTGGCATTTCTCTCACAATCAGGAATGCTGAGCATCTTTTCATGTGATTGTAGCAGCACTGTTTACAATAGCCAAGACATGGAAGCAACCTAAATGTCCATCAACAGACGACTGGTTTAAGAAGATGAGTGTTTGTGTGTGTGTGTGTGTGTGTGTGTGTGTGTGTATATATATATATATATATATATATATATATATATATCATGATATATACATATGCACACAATGGCACATTAAAGAATGAAATATTGCCATTTGCAGCAACATGGGTGGGCCTAGAGATTATCATACTAAATGAACTAAGTCAGGCAGAGAAAGACAAATATATGATATCACTTATATGTGTAATCTAAACAATAATACAAATGAATCTATATACAAAACAGAAAGAGACTCACAGAAAACAAACTTAAGATTCCCAAAGGGGAAAGGGAGGGGGAGGAAGGATAAATTAGGAGTATAGAATTAAAAGATACAAACTGCTATATGTAAAATAGATAAACAACAAGGATTTACTGTTTAGCACAGGAAACTGTATTTAATATCTTGTAATAACCTATAATGGAAAAGAATCTGAAAAATATATACATGTATAGCTGAACCACTTTGCTGTATACCTGAAACTAATACAACATTGTGAATCAGCTATTCTTCAATTGAGAAAAATTGATTCCAGAAGAAAATCCCTCCCCCCAAAAATAGCCAAAACAATATGAAAAAAAACAACATAGGACAGCTGTCTGACTTCAAAATTTATTATGAAGTTACAGTGATCAAGGTGGTGTGTATTGGTGTGAAAATACGTCAACTGATCAGTGGAATAAATACAGAACCCATAAATTGATCTACCATAGGACCGTGTCAATTGAATGGGGGAAAGAAACATCTTTTAAACAGAATCTCAGATATCTTGATTGAAAGCTCAGTACAAAGATGCATACATCGTGTGTGATTCGGGGTATATGAAATGCAAAACTAATCTATGGTGAGTAATTTGTATTTGCCCCCGGGGGGTGGGGGTAGGTTGTAAAGGGACACAGGAGTCTTTCTGGAGTTGTATCTTGTTTTGAGTGGTGTATTCACAGGTGTTTACAGCTTTTAAAATTCACTGAACAGAACACTTAAGGTCTACACGTTTCACTGTAAGTTTTACCTCGATTAACAGAAGAAAACCTCATGAGCTTGAGCCATGTGTCCTACATACAGGAAGTAGGCTGCGTGTATAAAGCAGAAGCAAACCCCTAGTGGTGGTGGAGTGGTGAGCCCCATCCAAAGGGGTGACCACCGCTCCGTCCAGCCGCTGTCACAGTGCAGGAGTGGACTGACCTGAGCTTCCCAGATAAGCCTGAAGACTTCATTTTCATGTCAAGCCTCTTGATTTTAGAAATATTGGACACTGATTTTTTTTAAAAAACCCAAGTATTTCAATGGGGAATGTTTACTAATATGAGATGAGATTAGAAGAAAATAAATGGCAATAAAGAGCTCTAGATACTGCTGAACAGGATCTTTTTTCTCACGTAAATAAATGCAAATTTCAGCCCCATCGTTCAGAGTCTGGTAATCTTGGTTGTTATGGAGGACTTAATACTGCAGCCACCGGGTTCAGTGATTAAAGGGCAGAGTCCTATAAAGTACTTTATTCTTTGTAGCTAGCAACTGATTTTGAGGAAGGTACTGCAAGACAGTGATGGAGGTGGCCTCTGTACCTAGGGCGTTTTTACTCTGAGTCTCATGCTCTGAACCCCTGTGATTCCAGGAGCAACATTAGGGAGCCCTTTTATTCCTGGTATCACTTTGGACAAGTTCTGCAGCACTTCAAGTTTTGTGTATTAGAAAATAGGGATCAGTTGTAGATGCCCGTGGCTCAGGTCCTTGACCCCTAAACCATACGAATACTATAAGAATTAGAACTTTAACCTATTCATACAGTTACAGGTATTGCCCTGGAAATAGTTCAGTGTTAGCTCTTCAGCTTGAAATGATCATTATTATTTAAATCAATGAAGTTGATTCGCCAAAACCCACTGTAAGATATTCATGGTTGCATTTGTTCATCTGCTTAGCAAGCACTGGAGTGTCTGATGTGCCAGGAGTGCTAGGAAGTGCTAGACGTACAGAAATGAATAAAACACAGTCCCCAGGGCTCAGGGGATTTTGAAACACAAAAAGGTTATATTTAGATTAACATAATTTAAATTGTAACACTGGTTTCCAGACCTGTTGGTATGTAATTAGCGTTAGATCTGCTCTTGAGCATTTTGAGGATTATTCTCACTGTGATTTACTTCAGATGTTTCAGCCTCTGTCATCCTCCAGCATCACAAGAAACTGAATCTAATATTTTCATTCCTTTAAATTATTCATCTTGCAAATGTTAACTCAGTAGCTACTTCGTGCCAGGAACTGTGCTGTTTCCAGGGACTACTGTGTTAAACAAAGCAAATATTAGCTTGGTCCTTGGAATTTGCTGTCAGTGTAATTTGTTGATTGACCTTGACTTATTCCTTTTCTTAAGTACTAAGTCCTTAAGTAAGTGCTACCTACTTCACATTACTCTCTTTCCTGTTTTATCTTTTAGTGTCTATTAGTGTACACATTGTCCCCACAGACACATTGTAGGGGGAAAAAAAGATACATTGAGTAACTTTACTATTGGGAAGCAGTAATAAACACTAAGAAATATCACCCCCCCCAAATCATAATTTAATAGGAGCCTCTTCTTTCATTTCTCCTCCTTCAACCAAAAAGAAACATTTGCTATTTTGCATTGTTATAAAGCTAAAGGTACAGATTTTTTAATCTGTTGGATTGTGTGTTAAATTTTTACTAACCAATTTGAAATCCATTCCTTCTAGACTTGTAAATCTTTTTTTTTTTCAACATTGCTGCTGTTACAGCTTCTGAGATATATTTTAAGCTTGTCACTCCCCTTTTCAAGTCATTTTTGAGGCTTTCTTCTCCAGCCAAGCCCTGTAATTCTTCCTTGTGCTGAAGAAAGCCCCTAGCCGACACCAGCAAGATTACCATCAGTAATGTTTTATTGTGGGATCTAAAATGTACATTGGTTGCTTCTCTGTATAGTTTTACATATCCTTGCTGTCATAATTCTTTTTAAACCTGAAAAAATTGTTACTAGTTAATTTATTTGAAGCTGTTCATCTAAAATGATCATTTCATCAGAGGTGGGCTTTGGATAAGTAATTAAAATTGTTCTTAAAACTGTCACCTTTTCTCTTTCCAGTTTTGAGAAATGGTGCTTGGGAAATTGTGCACTGGGAAAAGGTATGCACTGATTTTTATTTTGTTATTGATTTTATTTTGTTGTTATTTTGTTAGAAATGCATAGAGGTGTATTCTAGTAGATATAATTTTTTGTATATAATATAAGCAAATGTCAAGAATTCCACTAATATAAAAGCTAGTAATTAATGTTGTAGACATACATAGAATCTTCAGTTAGTGACTTCCATTTAATAATTCTGCAATGTATTAGAAAGACTGTTATCTTAAAGTAATATTTAGAACTTTTTGTTTCTTTCATAGTGTATTTTGAGTACTGTTTTCATAGATTTCATTTAACCATGCGCTGTTTCTGTTGTAATTTTTTGCTTTAATCATCTACTGTCCAAGTAAAGTAAAAATTAGATTCTGATATTTCACATTTGTATATTTTACTTCAAATTTATATACTGCGACTAATCACATTTGCACATCGCTAATTCATTTTTTAGAAAAGTCTTACTAATATCGTCTTATAATGAGCTGGAAATCAGTTCCACAGCATCAAGAGGTTAATTTGCTGATAGGACCTCTTAACATGGCAGTTAGTGAGTTGAGTATGATTTAACAGAAGTTATCCAAGTGTTCATATGCTTTTCAGGCCTCAGTTTCAAAAGGTAAGCAATAATTGTTAGATCGCCCTTAGTTCTGGAAGACCATTTAACTTCTGGTCACCAAGTATGTAACCTTCATAACTTGGTAAGAGCCTTTTGGAGGCAAGGCCTTTCTACTCAGGGGCTCTGTTTTCTGAGATCACTAGGACGACAGAGGTGTCATCCACTCTCAGTTTATTTGCACTCCAGTATTTCCAAGCAAGTTAAAGACCATGTCCTTGATGCTGCCTTGTGGTGTTCCTAGTCACCTCATTAATTAATTCAGGAGGCCCTCTGAATTAATTGCATTTTTGTTGATTTTACATCAGTGACCAGAATAGAGATTGACATCTCCTTTTTTGGATATTTGAAAATTCACAGCTCTCTCTCTCTTTGGTCTTTGACATAAAAATAACAAAGAGGAAAAAACTTGGTGTCTTTGTATTTCTTTGATAGTCACCTGTTTTTCAGCGGAGCAAGATTAAAAAAACCAAAAAAGCTCAATTTACTGTTTCAGAAGAACTTTCTTATATGCTCTTGTATGGTGCTTATGGATTTAAATAGTTTAGAGGGGAGACCAGTTGGATAGAATCAAGTATGACAGATTGAATTATAACTGTATTTCATTTACTAGGTTTGTCGGGGTAATTAACATAAATGCATATCCTAGTCAGTTGGTGTATCCATCTCTCCTTACCTGGAGTGCTTGTTGTAAAGCCAGGAGATAACCATCTACTACTTCACCCTAAAATTAACCTGTTAAAAAGCCTTATTTTCCTAATAGGCAGTCATTATTCTAAAACTGGATAATTTTAACTCTTACTTTTTCCATTTTTCACTGACAAAAAACATTATATTACCAGCCCATGATTACCTGTGATGACAGGGTTCTCAGTTATCTCGGAGATCCGTGACACGCCTTACCTGGGCACCCCACTTTGAGATACAAAGGGGTAGAATTTAAAGTGTTGCCAAAAGTCATCCAGCCAAAATGAGCTGATAACACTTAATTAGAATTAATAAAAGTTGGTTCAGTGACGAATTCAAGATAAATATTCAGAAATTGACATCACTCTTTTTCCAGCAATAGAAATTTAGAAAAATACAGTGAAAAAGAGATCTCATTCCTGGTGGCACATGGGATGCGTACAAGTAAACTTGGAATGTGTCTATGACTTTTGTAAAGAAAACTTCAAAACTTAAGGTGTTAAAGGTTAACATAAATGTACAAGTATATCATATTCCTGGGAAATCATCACCAGTTGTTCAAAAAATAATGATATAACCTCAGGGAAACTTTCTTTTTTTTCCCTCGAGAGTTGACTATTCATTGTAATTTTAAAAATAAACAATTAAGAAAGTAGAAGAATATTTTGGAAAAATAAGAACTATATGCAAGGATTAAATGTAAGTGAAATGGGAAGTAGAAGTTATTAAAATAGTTTGGAAGAATTGACATTGATGAATAGTGTAAAGGAGAGTAGAATAGAATAGGATACCCTGAAATAAATCCCATTTAATATTTGCTAAACAAGGCAAAAATCACTGAAAAAAGGGTTATTTAATCATGTTGGGACCACAGATGAGCAGTTTCAAGATATAATACAGTTTATATCTAAGTGACGTCTTAGCTTATTATCTAAGTCATATTTGAACCTGTGCTGAAATAAATTCCAACTGGCTAGAAGAAAATGTTAAAAGATTGTTTTTGAAAAGCATACAAATAGAATAAAGACGTTCATAAATATCTGGAGAAGAGCAAGATCTCAAGATCTACGGAATTTGATTATATAAAATTTTAAACACATAACACAAATAGGCAGAGAGAACATAGAAATATTTGCACCAAATATAACAAAAGATTGAAATCATTGTTATCTGAATAGGAAACAGAAAATTGCCATCAGCAAGAAGTATAATAAGCAACCAGACTCAGTGAAATATTCAACCTAATAGTTAAAGTTGTAAATGTAAATAATATTGAGGTCTTATTTGCTATCTAGTCAGGGAAAGACTCATATTTCAAAAATTTTATGAAGTATTTTATTCACATACTGTTGTGGATTAGCAGCTGAAGTCTTCATACTGAGAATCACCAAAAAAAAAAAAAAAAAAAAAAGGATTCTGGGAATTTATCCCAAGAAAATAATCATGAAGTAGGGAAATAGATGTACATGTATAAAAGTTATCTTTGTGGCATTATTTATAATAGTGAAAAGTTAGAATACATGAATATCCAACAGTAGAGAAAGCATTTTATAAATAAATTAATGACATTCTACACTCTAGTCTATTTTATGACAAGTAAAAGCTGAAATTTCAAATACTGTGGCAACACACAGAAAAACTTTCTATCATCATTCAACTCAAAATACTTTTTGAGTGTCTGTGCCAAGCAGTGAGCTCAACAACAGCAAGCGAGACATACGTGGGTTCCTGTGTCGTAAAATAATCAGAGGTGAAAAGAACAGGACCGTGCACGCTAAGATGCTGGCATGTGGAAGTGGTTTGTTAGCACTGAGTGCAGGCTGACTTGTGTTAACCCAATTGCAAGGCAGGTCTCTTCCTTTAGCTTATATAATATTTTGCGCAATTCAAAATAAAATCAATAAACTGAAACCAAGAGTCTGACCCACATGCCAAGTAATATGATAAACCTTGGTGCAGATGGCTTTAGTTCAGGGTTCTTTCTTCCTTGGCCTTTCTGAATGTGTGTAATGTTTCTCAAAGGACCTACCAATCTGCACAGTGTACCTCCAGTCATTCACAGACAGGCAGACTTCAGCTCTCAAACACTAACCGTTCATCCTAGTTACTGCTCTGAAGCCTTTGCTCTGTTGCACAAGGTTACATTGCCAGTACCTGGTTTTCTAAAAAATATTACAGTGACAAAACCCAATACAAGGTGTTGCGTCCCCACTCTTGAAAGTAAACAGCTCTGTTCATTACTCTTACCACAAAGGTCAGTTCTTCAAGGTGAGATGCAGCTGACTGTTCACAGGTTTTTGAGATAGCTGCAGGTGGAGAATTTAGGTAAAGCATCTTAGAATCAACACATTTTTCTGGCTTTGTAGAGAAACATGGAGCAGTGGGCTGTACACATGTGTAAAAGTCACTCTGTAAAGCTGCCTTAATGCATGCAGTTTCCACCATGAAAAACCTTTCTTTGGATTAAGAATTCATATCTCCAAAAATTCCTTACTAAAAATATAAATATGCTGTGGCCTGCAATTGGACAAATCAGATTTTCAGTCAGTCTATTGCAGTTTGATAAGCTTACCCTTTTTCATAATCCTCAATTGTAATTACTAATGTCAGTTACTTGAGAAGGCTCAGGGTATTGGCCTGAAGCCCTAAATATTTTTGTTTTGTTTGGGGGGGGCGGTGATTAGGTTTATTTATTTATTTTAATGGAGGTACTGGGAACTGAACCCAGGACCTCTTGCATGCTGAGCACACACTCCACCACTGAGCTATACCCTCCCCACTAAATATTTTTATAACTTCAGTATTTTGAGGACTAAAACTGCTTTGTCATGATGTTCCTCCAATTAGAACATGTAGTCAAAAAATTTTTGCCATCTTGACTTTCTCTTCTGTCTGTCCCTATGCACACACCAGACTGGAAAGGGGAGTAAATGACACATTAGGAGCTCAGAATCCAAAAGAAAGAGATGCTTGGATATGTTTGAGAAAGTGAACTAAAGCATAGGCATCAGGAGGGGGAAGTAAGCTCCCTGCTTTCCTCACAGAGCTGGGAGGGCTATTTAGCATTCAGTGAGCCCTTGGTTTTTCCAGGCCACTGAGGTAACCACATCAGACCATATAAGATGCTAATATTTTCTGTTAATCTTCAGCTAATAACCATAAGCCTTTATTTTTTCTTTTTGGTCTTACTGTGAATAAAGATGTTTGGAAGACAGTACAATTAGAGTCTAACAGACTTACGAAAACCCCTTAACACTGTCGTGTAGACAGATAGGATCCCGATTTTATGAAGCATGTAGTCTGATGGGAGAGCAAACATTAAGACACAGGAAGTGATTAAAGAGCAGTCAGATGGTAACCTGGGTGGTGTTCTCTCTAAGTGCCGGGGCTGCAGAGAACTTTGGTAGCACCCACTAAAAGCAAGATTAAAATAGAGTACTCTTACAACACATTACTTTAAGGGCTAGTTTATGCCCAGTCTTGCTGTTTTTTATTTCCCCAGTTGCCCTTTTTGGAGAAAGGGAGGTTTTGATTCCGAGGTCCCTGACAATTTATCAATTTCAGATAATCCAGATTTCATCTGAAATCAATCTCTTTTGAATCAAGGCATTCAGAGTTTTCCTACCTGGATAACCAACATATATACCGTAGATGAGAAGGTCCCCTCCAACCTTGCCCACCCTATTTCTTCCCTGGTAGTGCAAATAGACCACAGTGTCTCTGCAGTGACTTCTTACTGTGACTCCCGCGGAGGACATCATTCTTTCCTTCCCGCTCCCCCCAATAAGGTGTTATTTTAGGGGTCAAGGAAGAATAGGAAGGGGGAAGAACAAAAAGCTTCTAACCAAAAAAAAAAAGGGCTTTTCTTCTCTTGATTAATTATTAAAACTTGTTTTGGGGTTCATTTGGCTCCTAAGAGTGGGGCAATATATTTTTTCATAATATGATGGGGGTATGGCTATCAGTGTAGCTTGCTCCACTCGGCTTGGTCAGCAAGCCAAATTGTTACTTGGTTGGAGTTGTATTGTTTGCCAACAGCTCTGTGGCAGACCTATCCCTTAAGTTCCTTCTAAGTTTCTGAACATCGTATGTCTTTAATTTGTCTTCAGGCCATTCTCACAAAAATGCTAACAGGTAGTAAGATGAGAAAGACACCCAAGCTGTTGTTGTTTTTTTTTTTAATTTAGAATACAGTAATCATTTCACTATATTTGCTTATACAAAATGGGGCTTTGCAGACAGATGTGGGTTTGAGTCTAAGCTCTTCCTCTGTGATCTTGGGCGAATAACTTAGAATCTAAGACTTACTTTCATCCTCTGTAAATTGTGGTTTATAACCAACACCTATTCTGTAAGGTCATCTGAGGAGTAGTGAGTACATACAAGCTAGTTTCTCTAGTGTTGAGGTTTCCTTACACAGGGTAAAGATTTCATTGGGTAAGTTCCTCTTTTTATTTTTATGTCATCAGGAGAGAATCATGGAACAGTGAGATGTCAATTAAGTGGACAGAATGGATAGATTCATCTTTATTAAGCTAAAATATATAACCATTAAAAAAAACATACAAAGCTTCATCTTTTTAAAAGATTGCCCCATCCTTGGCCTCACTCCTAGATAATTTTATACCATTTTGCAAAGATAAGTGGTTCTTGTTCGCCAATAACATTTTTACCGTATTCTGTGATTAAATACAATGGGTTGTATATTTGTAACTATTTTCAATGCAGATGATTAACCGATTCCCAGTTTTCTTTCAGGTAAATGTTGGAGATATAGTTATAATAAAAGGCAAAGAGTATATACCTGCTGACACTGTACTTCTCTCATCAAGGTAGAGATACCTGCTGATGCTCAAACAGTGTAGAGGATGGTTTCTCTATCCTGCATTGACCTTGTGGTTCTTCCAAGGAAATAAGGAATAAACGAAGAATTTTAAGCCTCTCTAATGATTTTGAATTAAGCAATAAAAAAATTGATTGGACTTAAAGGACTCTTTCATGTTTGTCATATAGAATAAGTGATAGGTTCTACAATTATAATTCAGAAATTATAATTACAATTAAGAGTCTACCCTCCCTCTGGATATGTCCATATCTACTGGTGTAGACTACTAACTCCTGTAAGATTTCCTATCATTTATTTTATATAATACATGGATTGGGTTCTGTTGATTTTATCTTACAATCCTTGTTCATGACAAATTTCTTTATGATGCATTTGTATGTCTCTCCAGAGTTTCTTGATCTTTATGGTACATTGGTACAAGAAAATGGTTAAATGATTTCTTTTTGTCATCATATCTTTTGGAATGTTACACCTTCCAACAAAAAATTAAAGCACTTTGCTCTTTCTTTTACGTTTTTCCCATTACTGAATTTAGATAATTTTTGTTTTACTCATATTTAAGATAGTCATGAATTAGTATTCAGAACATATGGGACTGTTACCCTTTAAAGAATATGGTTTTCAAGTGGCTTTACATTTAAAAACTGTAAAACTAGTCCTAATAAAAATTAAGAAAAATATTTTTAATATTTTAGAGATTGTTTATCATCATTTCCTTGGACAGTTTTATATGTAAAATCCACATTTAAATATGGACAGTGTCCTTTTTTCAAAATCTGTTTAATCAGGTCATTATTTAAAGTGATGAATTGCGACATGTTAGTGAAACTTAGGTAAGCAAATAAATTATTCAGATATTTATAGAAGTAAGCCTACAGGTAGTTCAAGTAACTATAGGTATATTTCTGTATTTTATATTTGGGAGCTTTTGTGCCACTTACCTATAGGTTTTTTTTTTTCAGAAAGATTAAAATTAATAGATTTTTAAACCAATCTTTCTGCTGTTTCCTTTGCTTCTAGCTTTATCAGGGTGAGTCTCTAAAACTGAAGGGTGAAGGCAATGGTCTGTGTGAGAAGGAGTTGAATAGTGAACTTACTGTCTAGTGTCAAGTACTAGAGAGAGCTCTTCTTAGGAGGCAAAAGCCAGGATTCTTATCCCGTCTTGGTGATTTTAAAGGAAGTACTTAATCTCTCAGGCCTTGACTTCACATCTTTTAAAGTGAGGAAAATGGATTAAATGATCGAACTCTAATGTTCCCCGATTCTCCTTTCTGTTTAAATCCTTAATCTTTCATTTAAGTTTTAAGAACGATTAACCAACCGAAGGATGTGTACTTGGTGGTTTTAAGTAAAAGTTTGATAAATGTAATGAATGTTTGACCATCGGAATGTCATATAACATAGTCAAGCATTCCGGCAATTTAAGAAAGTATTAATGTTTTCCTGATTAAACTTATCATAGACGCCGCCATATGCTGAACCATTCATTACAATTTTCATTTTTTGTTTGCTCAGAAATATGAAGATAATTGACTAGATGGCCCTAATTTATATTTAATTCTCAGTCGAAAGTTTTCAAAATATTCTTCATCTGCCTATATCCAATCTGGACTCCCAGTGAGCTCTTAAACTTGAGAGTATTTCTACAAGATTTATTTTCTCAGCATGAAAAACATTTACTGCTGGCTGTCAATATTGGTAGATCAGAATAGTTTCTATATCTTAATATGGCATCCACCATAATTTACATCTTTCAAAGATGATTATTTTTTAAAAGATTATCTGATTCACCGATTTTTGTTGCTTAGAAGAATCAAAGTAAAGTGTAAAGCTTGTGCTGCTAAGTATTTCTATCCAAGTGGCAAAATACCACCTTTCAGGGTTTTGGGGGGTTTTTTTTGTTTTTTTTTGTTTTTGGTGGGTTTTTTGCTTTGTTTTGTTTTGTTTTTGGTTTTTTTCTCAAAGGGCTTTTGCATTACTTGGCTGTTTTGAATCTACGTCTTAAGAAGTAGGTAGAAGCTTTTGCCATCATTGAATAGAAAGAGGAATTTTGACTTTAAGTCTTATTTTCAGTCATTTAGCTTTAGCCAGTGACTAGGCCAAGGCTAGAATACCTAGCTCCTGATTTAATATCTTCATTATACTACACTGTCCACTGTCAAAATAAGGACATGGTGATTTTCACCGACAGGTTTGCACCACTTAGCAAAAAAGCATAAACAACAGTTTATAATATTTTAATTTCTAAATATTCTTAAATTATTAATTACTAATAGTACATCGTCTTTCAGGTAGTTTGAAATTAAAGCATGAACATAGTTCACAGTTATTATGTTTAATCGATTTTCATATTGAAATGAAAAACTGAAATTTTAGAAAAATAACAAAAAGCACATATATGGGTTTAGAAAGTTTAAATACAGTAAAATAACTCAAGCTATTCATTCAATTTCAGACAGGTTCTTGACATATCTATTTCATACTTTCCCTGAAAAATTTCTCCTGAATTCAAAGGCTTACTCCCCAAAAAACAATGCATTACCAACACTTTATTATTAAAATAATTCGAAAAGAAGTCATAATGACTTCTAACTTCCCACAACCCATGTCATTGCAGCTTTACGTTAAAGTTGACATTTATGCAATTAACTTTGAAAATGTTTTGGAATCAGGAAATTTTAACAAAGTTTTTTTTGTAGTATGTTGTGTAGGGGGAGAAATAGTGTAGTATATTTTGTTTTTCAAAAGCCTCAGAAGCCTGAAAAGTAGTTTCCACCATTATTTCTTTTCCTCTTGGGTAGGAGTGGACATGCAGTAGGTGACAGTTTCAAACAGGAGAGTGAGGATTTGGAGAAAGAAAAATTAAGATGAAGTAGCTCTCTCTATAAAAATATGTTTTTATTTAATTTGCTAAGATATGTGTGTAAGTAAAATTTCAGAAATGAAAAGTTTCTGCCTTAAAAATTGAAAATTGGGCTTAAAAACAAATAAATGATTCTTAATTATTCCATTTTCTTGTGCCTTTAGACCTGATCAAAATAAGTTTTGAAAAAATTGGCATTAGACATTTTTATTAACATGTTATTTTCTATAATAATTTCAAACTTTCTGTCTCTTTTGTCCATTTGTTTGTTTTTTTCCTCTGTTATTCATTTTTTTTTCGTTTTAATTATTTTAAACTGGGACCTGTAGGTGGCAGTAGGGGAAATAGTGAAAGTGACCAATGGGGAGCATCTCCCAGCAGATCTCATCAGCCTGTCCTCAAGGTTAGAACCACTGAGTTGTACAGGATGTGTGTATGTGGATCCTCACCCTACACCAGAGAGCAGTTTGCACCCAAAGATGGTTGAGTTCTGGATCTCTTCCTTTAAAACACAAACTCTTTATACTTCTTGGTGATGGACGTTTCACAGATGTTGTAAAGGCCTTTTATGTGAATACATTGTTGGATGATGTTCGTCCATCAAGTGGGCAAATTCAGCTCCTATTGCTATTAATAGGAGTCGGAGTCCATGAGACATGCCAGTAAAGGTAGATTTCAATTTACTATTAAATCATCATTAATATATATTCATATTTGTTTTTAATATATATTCATATTTTGAAACATGCCTAATTACTAAGGCTTAATTTATTACCTCTCCAAAATACTGTTTTCAACAGTGTTAAGATTTACATGAAAGACAATTACTGAGCAGATTTTACAATTTTAAAGATTTGTCTTACATTTGAAATTTTCTATGAGTTCTAGAGAATCCCTTCAGCAGTTATGACTAAAATGTGGGCTTGTATAGGGTTTACAGAGGACCCCTGCACAAAGCTGGATGTTGTACATTTGGTACCGCATGCTTTGGGATCAGTTTTTATCCCACTTGTAACTAGTGACAAAGCGCACGTCACTGTGATAAATTTCAGCTGTCTACTAGTGTCTGTATTGTGGTATGCATCTTGTTTCGTTTTTCTACCTACTAACCAAAAAGCCTGCTTTGCCCCTCTGTAGTTTGTGTTTTGGATGTCATCGTAATTTGCTGAAATACGTATCTAGCATGATCCCTTAACTGAGACTTCTTGCTGCCTTTTCATAGCATTGTTAAGAACTGCTTCAGTAACAGTTGTCTTAAGGGATTAAGAATGTTCTGAATTTCGATGCATATTTTATTTGCCCGACTTCAAATAGGAGCCAGCCATTTAACTTTCTAACTTCCTAGCCATTTAAAATCCTAGAAAAATTGTTTAATGAAAAAAAAAGATAGGAATAGAATTAGAATATTTTTCTCATTTTGGTATGAGAATGGCTTTGGTTTTATTGATCAGTAGAAATTTAATGCATTTTACTGCCAAAATATGGAATTGGCCTTGTTCATTTAGCATTTGTTTGTCATCATACTTCTGTATTATCAGAAGATGTGTTTTGTAATTTTATAAACTTTTTTTATTTCAATTATGTACATGAGTAAATTACAAATTGGTAACAGTTGCCAGGACCAAATTACTATTGTGACAGTAATAAAAAATGGAACTTTAATTAATTGCTAGAGTGAAAATATAAATAATGAAAAACTTCACCAGTTGGGAAAAAGTATCAGCCTTTACAGAAAGAAAAAAAAAAAAGCCCATAGAGAAATTGAAGAACTTGCGAAGTTACTTTAAAATGAATCTGTAAAATATTTGATTAATGATCGTGTGTTTCAGTACTTTCCACAAATCTTCAGGTCACAACTAAGCTATGTGCTCAGGTCTGAAACTCAGAATAGTCTGCTTTACACATGTACAAATTGGAAGCTGATTAGAAAATTCCAGGTGTTTGTGACTTAGAAATTTGTTTCTTTCTAACTTTGAGTACATCTGCTTATCAGAAATTACATTTATAGTTACTTATATGATATTAATTAATTGGGCTTTTTATATAAGCAAATGCCAGTAAGTTTGATTTAACTTCAGAATGCTTTTCCTTATAGCTGAGGATCAGGTTATACAGTTGGGCTGTCTGTAATTGCTGAGCAAGTCAAGTCAGCATGTGAAGGGGCAGGTTATATACAGTCAGGTGTGTGTACCTGTGATAACACTGGAGCACACTGGCCCCTGACACCAGCCACTGTGCATGAAACTTGACTAAAACACTGTAGCGGGGCACCCATAGAGTGGATCTTCAAGGTTCAGGACAAGAAGCAATATAGCCAAGTTGGCTAATTTTAGTTTTAGCTTTTCCTGCCACACAAATCTCTGAAGCAACTTTAATACAACAGAAAAAATAGGGGGAAGAAAGTGTACATCCACTTTCATTGTAAAATCTGTTCACACAGCTTTTTAAAGTAGCCTTAAAATTTAAATATAATTATTCATAGGATCCTTTTCATCTTTTTTAAAGATGCAATACGATACAACCTAAAGATGTAAATGCAAGTCTGCAGAAGCAACAATCTGGAATTTTCTAATCAACCACTCTCCTTAATCAATTTACATGTGGGCTATGAGCATGAAATCTCCTTTGATATTTTTGAGCTAAAGATATATCTGGACACAAAACTGCTTTACATTTCAGATACAGTCTGTGTCATGTCTGTGTGGATGAACAATTTAAGTATAATGTGACAAATCTAATTATTTACATTACCTTGGAGCTCAGTACTGATTGTTGTCAGGAAATTGCTTTGGGGTCCTTCTGGCTGAACAGCTGATCTGTGAGTTGTCATGCATGAGCTCTGCCTCACAGCATTTTGTGGTTAGAATGAAAGTCATCAAGAAACTAGGCGACTTTGTTTAGAATGAAAGGCTTCAGTGAGTCTGAGCATTTAAATAAGTTATTATGCTTTCCTTCCTCCACTAAGTCTTTGTGCTTTTCAATTTTAAACAACAGTGAGCCCCAGGCCATGTGCTACATTGAAACATCCAACTTAGATGGGGAAACAAACCTGAAAATTAGGCAGGTAAGATCTAACCTAGGTTTATATAATTATGGCTGTTCTCTATGACAAAGCTTTGCAGGGGGCAGAAAACTTTCCTCTGTTCGTCTTAGGTTCTTCTGGTTGGTCTAAGAATTATATTGACATGAGTCAGATTAATAGGAAAAAATCAAATTTAATTTCATACATATGAGAACTCCACATACATGAGAGGGTCAGAGACCCCCCCACACACACACCTGCGAGGTTCACAGACAGAAAGGTACAAGGAGGTGTGCATGCCATCCTGAGCCAAGGAATTGGATAGGGACCCAGGACTTCCAAGGACAGGAGGGTCGTTCACAAGATGATAAGAAGGAGAGCAGATGTTTGGTAATTCGATATTTGCCCTGCCATATGGATGGGTCCAGACAGCACTTAAGTGTATCCCTAGTCGTAACTCTCTTCTGCAGAAAATCCCTAATTTAAATTCTTCTAGGGAATTAACAGAGGGGCAGTAGTTTCTCTTGAACCTGCAGGATCTCCATTGCCTTTTGCTCAAAATAATCCTCAAGCAAAAGTGATACATTTTGAGGAATCTTACAGCTTTATTTCTTAGTAGTATTGTCTTGGGTTGAGGCAATTCCATCCAATTGCAAATATTTTCTCACTGAGCCACTGTGGAGTGGTTTTACAAACTGGTCTAGTTATATATTATGGAAAACCCAGTTTTACTTGCCTGATTAAATATGGTCCATCATATAGACACTATTTTGTAGTATTTTTAATATTTTATGTAGTAGCCAACACCCTGATGATATTGGTAGCCCTACATGCTTTCACATGTGTTAGCTTGTTTCCCGTTTTCACCTGGCCCAATTATCTGTCTTTGCCATGTTGAAAAAATGTCGTTTCCATTGCTATTCTAAAAGTCTCATGATCTTGGGGAATAGGTTAGATTTCTACATTTACTTCTCATACTATCCATAACAGAAAGCAACTGTAAGGTTTTTATTTTTAAAGTTTTAAAAGGGACTTCTAAAAATGTATTCTTCTGGGTTCTAGTCAAATAGTGGAAATGACACTTGGGAAGGTTGGACTGTGGTCGAAGTAGGTCGTCATCACAGGCCCTGACCTCAGACTGCCCCAGGGAGTTGGGGCTGTTCCACTCCAGCCACTTCCAGCTGGAGCTGTCTCGGAGGTTTCCTTTCCTGAGGAATAGAAGAACAAAAACGTAACTCCTCTCTTTGGGAATAGGTTCTATTTATTGTGCATTCCCTTTTGGAGATTCAGCAGACAGATTTAGACTGTATAATGCTAAATATCAGTTTTATTTTTGGAAACAAACAGTTCTTGCAGACCTATTTCAAAATACCTTTACAGGCTAGTTTATAGTCTCTTTAAGATATTTTAGGACTCTCACGAAAGATGCCCTATTCTTATGCTAAAAGCCTATGTCCAAGTGGAGAGGAAGGTATCTCCTCCTTATGATTTGACAGAGTGTTGTACAGTGGAGAATAATTGCTTATCAAATAATAGGATCTCTTAGATCTTAAGGTGTGGATGAGTTTAGAATTCCCCACTGCCTCCCACACACAACTCACTTAATCTACTCTTGCTTATTTATAAATTTCTAAACAGGGCTTACCAGCAACATCTGATATAAAAGACATTGACAGTTTGATGAGAATTTCTGGCAGAATTGAGTGTGAAAGTCCAAACAGACATCTCTATGATTTTGTTGGAAACATAAGGCTTGACGGACACAGGTATGTAAAACTGGTCTTCATAAAACCACACACGTTACTGTGCTGCACTGTATTGCTGACCTGGGTGGATATTTTCTTGTACTCTTAGTTCGATGGCTCAAAACCTCTTTCTTAAGCATTTCTGTATTCTACCCAGGGTTCTTTTATGAGAATGCTCTTAACCCTGTGCACATGGTATAGCTGAAGACTTCCCCAGGGTTCCTGCCAGCCTGTGAGTTGGATATTTTCATGTATAGTCCAGGCTTCAGGCACATTGTTTAGTGGCTTATTCTTTGGCCAAAATACTTATCTTATAGGTTTAACTGTCAGTCCCCATGGCTTGAGTCCTTTCCTGGGTGGGAGGGGATACACTGGGAGTTCAAGATTTGCAGATATTAACTAATATATATACAATAGGTGAACAACAATTCACACTGTATAGCACAGGGAACTATAATCAGTATCTTGTAGTAACTTGTGGAAAAGATAGGAAAACAAATATATGTATGTCATGAGTATGACTAAAGTATTATGCTATACACCAGAAATTGACACAACATTGTAAACTGACTATATTTCAATTTTTTTATATATATATACACACACATACACACGCATGCACACACATATACACACACAGAAAAAGAGGAAATCATACCAAGGCAGAGCGAGTGACTAAGTGGGTCAGATGTTGCTTATGGTCAAGTACAATGAAGTCAATTACAGTGTGTTTGATTTGGATTTAGCAAGTGGAGAGCCTTGATCTCTGTTGGGACAGGTGGAGCCTAAGGAGAGTGAGTCTGGGATAACAGAAGAGTTGAAAAATAGAGAACTTTTTCAAGGAGTTTTGTTACAAAGGGGAGCAAAGAAATGGGGCAGAACTTGACAGGAAACGTGGGGTCTGCCCTGCCTCCCTTCTCCTCTACTAGGCACTTGTAGTGGCCAACTAAATGCAGTTAAATTTACTAGTTCAATCTACCAGCCTGAGAGATTACCAGTGCTTTCATTATTTGTAATTCCTTTATTATGGTATTTAAATTCTAAAGGACACTTGAATACCCTGCACTATCATCCTCATTCAGATCCACCAAAAGTCTTCCTGTAATTTTTGAAGAAATTATATACTGCTCTAAATTTTTCACAGAGTGATCTTTCCATGAACATATGGTTATAGACTATTGATAGATTTGGCCGTTTATACAAGTAATGTTTCTGTGGTCTGACATATCTAACTGGCCAGCTTCCATTTCTTATCGGTTCCCCCATCAAACCAACGCCAAGCAAATCCACACAGTGAAGGAGAAACTTTGTGTGACGGTGCCAAGATTTAGGGTACAGATAGAATTTATATAATATGCTTCAATTTATATGAAAGGTGGAAACATTTGCAGTACCTTTGTGCCTGTAGCACACTTGACGTTTACAGTAATTATCCAGTGCTCTTGGAGCCCCTTAGTTTGGAATGAGTCTGCTTTTCTTTAAGAATGAGGGTCATTGTCTGATGCCAGAAGCTTTGAAATTCCAACTCTGATGAAAACTAATAACTAATTCTCATTGAGTCCTTGTAATTAAAAAGTCATATTTTTTGCTTTTGAAGAGTTTGTCTCTAATTCCAATAATCCACACCACTAACGCTGAGGTGACCGATGCCACATTATACCCCATTGGACACATAAGAAATGGTTGGCACATGTGTGCCCCAGATCATAATCCAGCAGCATCCCAAGAACTTCTTGAAAACTTGCTTTAGGCCTGAGGACCCCTCCCATCTCTGAAGTGCACCCCAAATCTTGAGACATGTGCTAGAGAGGTTCCCTTCTGGATGGATCTGAAAGGCATGTTGTTGTGCATAAGCAATGAGAGTTTCAGTTGCTGTGTTCTCTTCCTAAATGGGAATACACTCATTCCTAAGGATTTACTCACTTCGTGGAAGTCTTCCGGTGCCATCATTCTGAGCCGGTGACATTTGTATTGTTCATAAAAGAAGGTCACAATCCCAAGCTACTACTGGCCGTGGACACCTACTGGACACCAGCAGTGACAGCTTCGGTCTTGGTGTGCCTCCTCTGACAAAGAAATTGTTTCTGGAGACTTCTTTGTGGGGAATTTCTTCCTTTTCTCTGAAAGTTTTTTAATGAATTTTTCTTTATACTTGACTTTTTTTTTTTTGCTTTTTTTAAAATCAGTAAAATGAAGAAGTAGTACTGGGAATCTCTGAGCCATTAAATTTTGTGTAGTACATTACATTTTGGGAACCCCGCCGTATTTGGTGATAGCTTGTACTCGTTTGATGGCTCTATGAGAGGCTGTATCAACCCACAACCTACCATAGGGGGCAGCCTTCCAAAAAACCCACAAAAGACCCAGCTTGACCCTTGAAAAATGTGGTTCAAATTATATGGGTTGGAGCGCCTCCATTTGCTGTCATTTCAGAGGAGTGTTTAAGACTTTTATATGCTTACCATTTACTGGAGATGTACTTGCAGTTCTTGGAAAACTGATTTTCAAATGCAATAAAATGCATGTCCTAGAGATCTTAATACAGAGACTTAATCTCTGGAGGCAGAGAGGGCAATCTAAGTGTTATGATGAGATCTGTGTATTTACCTTACCTCATGTATTTTTTTTGAACATTTCTTACGCACAAAGCTAATTTTAATTTAAAGGAAGGTGGAGGAAGGGGGACAGATCCCCTAATCTCACCACTTCCAGACATTTCAGAAACCTAAGTGGGCTTTACTGAATCAGTAAAGTCTTCAACAGGTTTGAGAATTGGCCCCTGAATTCCCTAACGTTACCTACCATCTCGGATAATGAAATTGTAGGAAATGGCTGGTTTGGTGCTAGGGAGGAACAGCTGGCACGCTTCCCTCCAGCTGTCCTTGTGTAAGAAAATTATTCTTATAGGTGGGAAAATTACTTCTTTCCTAAAAATAAAGTAAATGCGAGAAGGGTTATTTTCATAACAGAACCTTTCTTGGAACTCTATAGTGGCTGTAAAATTCGTAAGCATTTTAGAAAATGTCGTTTCTAATGTCAACATAATCTGTCATAGCACTGTTCCCCTGGGAGCAGATCAGCTGCTTCTTCGAGGCGCTCAGTTGAGGAATACACAGTGGGTTCATGGAATAGTTGTCTACACTGGACATGACACCAAGCTGATGCAGGTGGGATTTTTTTTTTTTATCTATAAACACCTTTTGGACCTAAGTCTTTTGAAAATGTGCTATTTGTAGCTGTCAGTGCTATAGTCCCAAACATAGCAGACCATCTGTCACAGATTCTTGAGCCCACACTCTACATCCAGAATCTCATTCTTTGGTGAGTGGGGCTGTGAAATGGCTCACTTCATGCAAAAACTCTAGAAAGTTCCACCAGAAATCACCAATGCATGAGAGACCCAATCATTTTATGTACCAGGCAGCATTCATTGACTATTGCAGTAATTCATACAAGTTGTGTAACGATGAATGCTCTGCATTAAAGTATTTGTCCCATCATTTTATTTTAATACGATGATCAAATTTTAGACCTTATTTTTTTCTCATAAAAATAAAAGAAAACCTTGTGAGTCGAATGTTGACTGTTTTTTAGTATTTTTATGTTAAGCCATTTTTAATCACCTTTAATCCTAGCACTTGTAATGTTAACACAAGTTTATGGATTTCTCTTCTCTACATTATAATATGAGTATTCAGGGGACTAGATGGGTATGGGAAACTCAGTTTTGACATACTAAATGAAAATCTCCTTTAAGGGCTGATAACTTTGTACCTTGTAAGGGCACAGAGATGTTTTCAGCGGGCAAGAGGGAATGCTGTTAATGATGCCATCCCTAACTGTTCTATGAATTCTCTGAATTATCATTTTATATTGACTTTGACATTGAATTTCCTGTCCTGTGGATGCCTTGGTTAGCGCAGATCTGGCATAATCATTTTTATCATTAAATACAGATGAGTAGACTCCTATTCTTTATAGCCAGCACTACTTAGACTGCTGCTGTGTTTAGTAAAACAAATACAAAATGTCACCAGAAATCTGGAAACAAGAGATCCCGGAAAGGTTGCCTTCATAGTTTGGAATTTCCAGGTCTCTGGCTGTGGGTGCCCAGGTCACCTTCTCTGCCTCTCTTCTGGAGCTGAGATACTGGATGCTTTCTTTAATCTACCCTGTTTGCTTACGTAGTCTAGTAATAAATGCATTGTTCATCTTACCTGCCACCACGCAAAAGCTATGTCTATAAAAGGAATAGTATTTCCTTCTTTCTTATTGTTTTACATCCTAGAAAAAGGATTGGGTGGTATAGTGGCCTTTAGAAAAAGAAGTGGTTAACCTTTGACAGCTTTTACGTCTGTGATTATTTTCCATATAATTTTCATGTCTTGACTCATGTCTAGATTTTGAGTTGTGAGTTACTTTGTTATCATCACCAAAATACTGGATATACATTACTAAATCATTTGAACACTTGTCTTATTAGTCATCTTTTGTTTCTTTTTACAGAATTCAACAAGTCCACCACTTAAACTCTCAAATGTAGAACGGATTACAAATGTACAAATTTTGATTTTATTTTGTATCTTGATTGCCATGTCTCTTGTCTGTTCTGTGGGCTCAGCCATTTGGAATCGAAGGCATTCTGGAAAGGACTGGTATCTCAATCTAAACTGTGAGCATTAAAGTGCTTATTATACTTATTTCTTCTTCCATTAAAACACATATTTGTTTCACAACTGATCTTGGAATTTCCTGTTTCTGAAAAGAAAACCTTGTTGCCAAGATAACCGGGCATTTAAACTTTATTTTTTGATGTAATTTCCTGTAAAAGAAAGTAAAATGTTAGAATCCCTAAAAATACAATGAGCACACCAAAGTAGTATAAAATGTTATTAATGTTATTTTAATTTTGTTAATTTATTCTTTTAAAATATTTTAACACACTAGTTGTATAGCTATCTGGTAAAGAAAGCAGGTTTAATACTTATATTTGAAGAACCTAAAACTATTTTACATGTTGCTAAAATGTTTAAATTGGATGTACTTTCATTTGAACTCGTGAATGCTGTGTATTCTGTGTTAACAGTCTTGTCTTAGGGAAAGTGCTGTTAAATAATTTCCTTTTGGAACATTTATCTTATTACTGAGTATTTCTGGGAAATAAGTTTATACTTCCTTTTGATGAGCACTAAACCAATAAATACTTAATTTCCAAGAGTACAGAAGCAAATTCTAGTGAAGTTTTATAGCAAAATTGATTTTTTCAGTTGTATTTTAATTTTAGTGCTTTAGCTTTGCAGTTATTCCAGGGTTTTTTTTTTATATTAACAGTCATTGTTTTGCTGTTCAACATTGAACATTTCAATTCAGCATTGTTAAGACTGCCATCCTTTTGTTTCTTCGTATACTTTACAGTTTATCTGGGATAGCGGTTTTAGTTACATTATTAAAGAGGAAGAATATAATTTACCTCTGGCTAAATTTACCTAGGGTTCAGCCCTGTTGTTGTTTTTGCTATTTGTGTTGGTTTTGCTGCCATTGTTTTGTTTGCTTTTAAGACATAGTTTAAATTGGAAATGTTTTTCAAAAATTGATATAAAAGTGATTCTACCCAGTTGAGATTTTACATCTGTAGACCATCAGTCCTATCTCTAAAATCTCTAAACTTCATGTTTGGAACAGGTTTGAAATATTTGTTAGTACTTTCACTTTTTAGTGCCATTATGCAGTCAATAGAATTAACAACATTTGTAGCACAAATAATGCTATTCCATCTTGGAGAATGTACTTGAAAATAGGAATATGTTATCAGCACAGTGTTCCTCCCAAACTTTCTAGACTTAACTATGTAGTATGGAAAGTTCTTGTTATACTGAAGTTCTGGCCAATGCAAATAAAATATGAAACTGTAAATGATTTTATTCCTACCTCCCCCAACAGATGGTGGTGCTAATAATTTTGGACTGAATTTCTTGACCTTCATCATCCTGTTCAACAATCTCATTCCTATCAGTTTGTTGGTTACATTAGAAGTGGTGAAATTTACTCAAGCATACTTCATAAATTGGGTAAATATGAATTACTATTGTTTTTCATTACACTAAACAAACATTTTTGTGTTTTTTCCTGATAGAGTCTTTTGATCATTCAGGAAAAAAAAATCTTAATTATATCTTACCTTTTATTGACTCCAAGGCAGTATTTCAAAATATTTTTGAGCCTAATATAATAATAGCAAATTTATGTGACGTGTGAAAATCGTCACAGAGTCTCTTATCTCAGACTCACACAGGTTTACAGACCAGACATGCTGGGGAAAAGAGGTCTGGAGTTGAGGAAACCTATTTTTAGTTACATACTGGTCTTGGGGAAAAGAAGAGCCATGGGGTTAGGAGTTAAAATACCTGGATTTTAGTCCTCATTTTATAATTTACTAGCTGTGTGAACTTTGCCAAACCACTTGATTTCTTTTAGGCTTATTTTTGTGGGTAATCACAAGGGAATAATAAAACATGCTTTACCTGCATCTCACTGTTGTTACATAGATCAAA